GACTTGAGACAAGAATAATTTGGTTGGATGGGCAAAGAGGTGGCCAACATCACTGGTAGAGGATTTTGGGGTTTGTTTTGGGTTGTAAAGGTGGTTTAGATGAGTTGGGATTCTTTGTTTTGGTTTTGGTTGGCTTGTACGTGTGTGAGTCCGGAGGCTGTGTTGGCTGGGGTCTGGGACCTATACTGAGGGGAGGGTAGCAACATAAACACGGGACAGGGTGCATCAGGTGCATCTATAATGCAGGACATATAAGTTGCTTTATATATACACGTGTATATATATATATATATATTTAGGTAGATAGATATACACATATGTACATTTACGTATGCATATGTATACTGTGTGTAAAGATATTTTGATATAGACATACACAAGTGCATCGCGCACAAATTTCTCTTTGGCGCATCTGGGACCTGCACCAGCGCCATGGCGTGAATCCTGCGAGCACCGGGTCTCCCAAAAGTCATCTACTGATCCAAGGCTGAGTGTATGGGTCCGCAAATGAACCCATGGCCATGTTGGACCCTTTGATTTGGCCATGGGCTTTTCAAAACCCAAAGCCCGCACCCCGAGTGAACATCCCAATCCAACCACTAAAATAGGTTCTGAAATGGGTGGTGCACCTACCCCAAAATGGTACCATTGGTTTTGACCCTCAGCCATTTCAGAACCTCAAACTCTTCGTTGATGGACCCCCCAACCCCCCACCCAGAGTTTGGGGATGACTGGGACTTGATCTGCACGGAGCCTTGCCATTTGAGTCCTAACAGCTTGGCAAGGATTCTACCCCAAAAAGTTGATGAACAAAGAGAATGGCCGCACCAATCTGTGGTTGGGGAACCCTCCACCTATGTAACGTGCAAACTCTCCACGCGCCGTAAGAAGCTTCCCCCGTACCCCACAGACTCAAACCCCCTCCACGGCCTTCTGAGCTCCTTAATGCTGTTGTATTCATGGGAATAAAACCCCTTCTTTGTTTCCCTTGAGCCCCAAAACAACGCTTCCAATTTTTAGCCGAACCTCTCTGGGAAAATAGAGAACTTCCCTTGGAAAAACTACGGCAAACAGCAGAGTCCCCTCCTGGCCATCGGCTTGAGGCCCAGCTTCTGCAGGCCCCGCCTCGGCAAGCCCGAGGCGGGCCGCCGAGCCGAAGTCCGAGTCCGGACAGTCCCTTCGAGGTGTGAGGGTGACGCAAAATTCAGGCGGCGTTGCGCTGGCTCTAGTCTTTGCTTCATATACCGTGCCTTTTGCAAGAGTCCGGATATGTTCAGCCACTGCCAAGTGAACTTTCGTTGATCATCACGAACATGAAAGGGACCAAAGCTGGATTCTCCCTCGAGATCCAATAAAACTGCCACTTTCGGAGATCGGAAAAGGAAATTGAGGAACTGCCCTACACCACAGGTATGCTGAAAAAAACTGACAAGCGCCATGCAGACCAAGCATCTACGTTTGCCGCTGAAACTCAGACAACTTGCTCTCCTGGGGATGGACACATGGAGCTCTTGCCAAGGGCTTCGTTGCATTCCACGCCCATTCCCAGAACCATCACGGAAGCGGGCAAGCTGCCAAACTCCGATGGGTTTTTTTGTGGTTTGCTGCACACCAGCGCTTGCCACAACTTTCTGCGCTCACCTCATAGCTTTCTGAAACCTTGGGCACACCCCTGCGAAAGAAGACACTTGTTCGGTTGATTTCAAAGGGCCCGCCCTGCAACGTGAAGAAGGGCACTGGAGGTCCGGGGGGACACCTTGCACCTTGGATCGATCCGCTTGCCTCGGCTTGTTCTTTGGATGCAGGTGGTTGTGCAACTGCGCTGCGTGCCTCGTTTGGCCAGTTGAGTGGTTCTAGGCCAGTGTGCCATGCGGCGCAATTGGGGAGCTTCAAGCTCGAGGTGTTCAGACACGGGGACCTTTGATATGGATGGTTTCCTATCTTCTCCCCTTCAATTACCATGCAAGCAGGGACATAATATAGACATGTGCCAAAGGGTTGGTTTCCCTTTTGGTTCCCACTTAGCGCCCCTCTTGCAGTCCCCGATTTTGAGACATGCCTCATACGGGTTGGCCTCCAAATGACTCGGAAGATATGCGGTTTCGTTCGGATTCCCGCAAAGCAACCGCCAGCCAAAGCGCTCATTGCAGATCAGCACGGCCGCGGCGCCGTCGCCTAGCGATAGCCCTGCCCAAAGCATGGGACTGTTTGACAGCACTTCGAACGAGATGATTCCTCGGTCTAAGCCAAAAGCTTCAATAGATATGAATGGAACAGCTTCTTGTGAAACAACTTCCAAAGGACAGTACCAAACAAGTGGGTGTCATGTGTGTGTTTGTGTATGTCTCTGTGTGTATGGTCGTCTTGAGAGAAGATAAGGATGTCCTTGTCAGGTTGGGTATGGGTATGTCGATGTGTTTCATCTCCAGGCAACATGCTTTGCAGAATACTGCAGGCCGATCTGCTTCTGTGGACTAACATTGGACGGAGTTTGGGTGCGAAAGGAAAGCAAAGCAGGGCACACTGAAGTTGCCCTCAGGACATCGGCAGAAAGTCCTTGTCATGCGTCAAAACGCTGATGTCCCATCCCGCTCGCAAACCAATCTGAAGTTCAGCATGAGTGCTCTCACTGGCTCTAACGAATAATCACACTGCGTCCAGGTCAGGGACTTCCGACCTCGCTGGACCTGCCACAAACCAACTGGCCCCCCCCCCCCCCCACATGCGGCTGCAGATGTGTTTGGCAAAAAGTGGCCGTCCGGTTGGTCCAAGACTGGCGCAATTGACCAACTGGTTCTCGCACTGCCAGATGCACTCAACACAAATGAATCCCAAATCTAGTGGGAAGCCATTCAAACATGGTAAAGGCCAACACCTTCTTTTTCGACCAGGATTTGCCTTGAAGTTAGATGGTTGGCTTACTTGCAACATGCAGTGAACCCACAGATTGACCTCAAATTGGCCCAAGGTGCAGAGTCTATCTGATCTTGTATAAGAAAAGCCACCAGGCCCCCGAAATACACGAACAGTTGTCTATGTCCGCCTTTTGTTCCAAGGTATGTCTGGGGGGGGGGTGTTCGGACGTACGCGGGTGTGATCTCATCTCCGCCACGGCACAAATCTGTGAGGAGCTCGCAGGCGTCAAGACGCCGTTGGGGAACATGGCCTGAGCGACAAGCCAAGCCAAGCAGCGGTCGAACATCCCCCCACCTTAAGGGAGAGGGGTGGGGGTTGCATCAGTTCCATGCATCTAGTCTTCCCCACAAAGGAGAAAATGGAACCACAAATGGAATTCCAGGGTTCCCCCCCCTCCCCCAATTCCATTTACAAGGGGGCGGGGATGGTCGAACCGGAAAGGGGATTCCACGGCCGAGGCGCTCTGTGCTTTCCGTTTCGATGAGGTCAGGCCCTTGTTGGTCCCCGAATCATGGCTCGGGGATGGGATCGGACCATGGCTCGGGGTCCAAAGGGCAACTATCAACTGCCAGTGCCCCCAACTTTCCGCTGGAAGTTGGTGACCAAACCAGCGGAACCTCTGACTGGTGGTTTTGGAGAAACCAATCCAAACCACCGAATCCGAGTGGGTTCCCTGCGCCTCAACAACCGCGCCCCCCTCGGATCCGCGCACCTTCAGCTTCGCCACTGATTCCTGCGTCACCCCGGGGCGAATGCCCTCATCCTGCCGCGAGTTTTTTGCTCCCGTCGAGTTGCAGCGCTCTTCGCAAGCCAAGACTAAGGAAAAGGCAACCTTGCTGGTGCTCAACAGGGAATGAGGGAATGACCCTTATAAACCATCCCTTGTGTTTGCTTTTAAGGGAATCCCTGGGTTCATTCCCACATTCCCGGCTGAGCACCAGCAAGCAGCCTAAAGGTGGGGCACTGCTCAAATTCGGCACACCTACCATTGTGACCATGCGAGGAGCATGCTATAGCTCATGAGTCCTGGTAGCAGCGTAAGCCGCAAACTATGGGCGGCAATTCGCAAGATGCTGATGTCTGAAGTGGAGCACGGGGCAAAATGTGGTTCTGGCCAACAGCGGCTGGCACGTATGCAAAGGGACACTCACAAAAGATGCTAAGAACTGCCCAAAAGAGTGCACAAATCATTGAATCTGCCATTTCTGTATCAAAGGCCCTGCGTAGGCATAAACCCATCTTGAACTCGGAACCAACAAGAGCATTGTTGGAGACCATACATTTTCTCCACTTCCGCCTAGTCAGGGCTACTGCAGTCAGCAGTGATCTGCCAAAGTTCGACTTGAAAAGTCACGACCCCGCACCCATCTCCTCAGTATGCATCCCCTCAGACTGGCCCTCCTTTCCTCAGACACAACATGGCTAAGGCAAGGCACAAGGAAAAACTGGTCTCCTTCGAACACAACCTGATACTGCAGAAGACACCAGGTTCTGCATTTCAAAATCAAGGCATGCCCCCCTGGGCAACTAGTCTTCGGCATATTGAGGTCTCTTTGAAAGGCTACCAACCAGCATCCCCATCACAATGACAAACCTCTGGACGCCTTCCGGAAGAAAATGCGGAGTAACTATCATGGTCATTTGCAAAGCCACTTCCTAACCTGACAACACCCAACCATGACTGGCACCAGCCACTCTCGACCCACAATCATCCTCCTGATCTGCCTGGCGCCAATACTTCACTTGCTTGGGTGAGCCCTTGCTTTGGCCACGGCCCCAGTGTCGGACCAGAGCACTGGGAAATGTATGTGGGTGACGTCACCATTGATGCGCGCAGAAAACTCACAGGCTCCCGGGCGCTTCACTGGCACTGGCACGATCTCGCCCTTGAACTTGCCAGCCTGCTTGGAACTATGCAACCAATTGTCAAGGGGCGTTTGGGATGAAGGAGGCTGACGCAATATGAGAAGCATAGAGACTCTTGCAAACAGCCTTTTGCCTTTGGGCTACGGTCCCCTGAATGGCCCTTGAACCGACTGCCCAGGGTTTGCAGGTTGCTAGGGCTTGACTTTACGCCAATGTTCTTTTGTGTGTGCGGGCGGTTGTGTGCACGCTTGCGGTGGATTTACATTCACTACCCGTGCCAATCCCGGCATCGTGCGGCGCTACACGCCATACAGCAGTTGCACCACGCCAGCACTTTAGTCAAAAAACACAAGACACCACTTGGCGGCTCATGTTGAGTCTTTCCATAGCCTCTTAATGGGAACCGCGGATTAATATGGATGAATAAACTAATAAGCCCCTGGTTGATTGAGAGGGGGTGTCCCGTTTAGTGGGGGCTCATCACTTTTGGAGGGAACACCCCCCTAGGATGGGTTTAGAAATCTGGGGTTCCAAGAATTAGTAAGGCCCGATTCAGGACTTCTCCCAGCCTCCTGAGCTTCTCCCAAACTGACTCAAAGCCCCAAAGCCCAGGGGTCGACGATGTCACGTTGGCGCCTCACCAATCAACCCCCCACTTGAGTCACAATCAAACCCCGGTATTAAAATGGTCTACACAGAACCATGCCTCAAGAATTAAGAAGGCGGCCGCAACTCATTATTTCTGGCTGGGACTGCCCCTAACCTTCATCTACCCGAATCCGTTTTGATTGTGGCTCACGCGCCTCAGGTTGCCCTGGAAGAAAGGAACCTCAACTCAAAGGGTGACACCCACCACCCCAACCCCGGTGCCTGCGTAGAGGCCAGCGCCCTCTGCTGCGAGATGGCGGCAAACTTGTCGGTATCCTCAAATGCAAAGGCGAGAGACATACGCGAAAAATAACCTATCCATAGGTATTGTGTAAATGGATATACATGGATACGTTGTGTATGTGTATATATGTATATATGTAAAGACATATATATGTATATATCTGTTTGTGTATGTTCTCCACCACCAACTGCTCTGGTTGCTCACCCACCCTCCCACCCATCCCACACCCACCCACCCACCCACCACCCACCAACCACCCTCCAACCCTCCCACCCACGCACCCACCCACCGCTCACTCCACACCCATGGGGAAATGCGTCTGCTCTGTTGTTTTAAATAAACTCGTGATTCTTTTTCAGAAGAGTGTCTAACTTGACAGAAGATTAAAGTATCATCTCCTTTTCAAAGAAGATTTTAACTGGAATGGTTATTTCAAATCAGATTTTTAAGGGGGTATCTTTTTTCCAGGATTGTGTTTTTCCATGTTCTAAAGATTGTTTATGGATTTTGTTTCGCAAGTAATTGTAGTGGGAATTGTAATTTAAAGAGATTAGAAACAGGATGTCCTGTTCAAAGAAGATGTGTAATTGATCATCATATTTGAAACTAGGTCTTAAAACTTTAGTTTGTGGAGGATCAGAATTTGAATAGATGCTAATGAGGAAATAACTAGTAGAATGCTTTAACAAGAATTGCAATAGGATTTTGTTTAAAGAGTACTTCAGGGTTCTTAATCTAGGGTTGTGTCTTTCATGTCTAATTTCTAGTTCAACAAATACATTTTGATTGGGATGTCCATGTTAAAGAACGAGTTTAACTGGGATTCTTACTTCAAAAGTTGGATTTTAAAAAGGACGTCCGTTCCCGGGATGTTGTTTGTTTTCTCAGTAGAATTTAAGTGCAACTCAATAAGGAAATCTGTCTAGTAGAATGTCTAACTTTACAGCAAATTAGATAGGATGTCGTTCAAAGAAAAACACAGAACTGGATTTGTTCGATCCAAAATAAGATATTGAACATTGATTGTTACACTTCAAAATCATGTTACACGAGAACATGCATTCAACATTTTCGGGACCGATAATCTATTTCCTTATGAAAGCTACCTAATATACTTGTCAAGTTCCACCTAAATTCTACCTCACGTGAAATGGCATTTAAAAAGGACAGCATCCAACCTTCTTTTTCAATTAGAATTTAATTCATGATGATTCCAAAACTAAGAAGAGTTAAATAAGAAGCGAGTCCAATCAGAGGAAACAAACGCAGCCCCCAGGAATCTGAAAAACGCAGCCCCCAGTAAAATGCAAAATGCAGCCCCCAGGAATCTGAAAAACGCAGCCTCCAGGACGACCCGCCCTCAATCAATTATGCTGGTGCTCCATGCGCGTGCGCAGTTCCATTTGCATTCTAATTCAGCTCTATCCCAATGAGCTTCGGAAAGCAAATCCTAGCGAATTAATGTGTTGTTTATCTAGTTTGACGTTTTAGAACCATGTCAATGTCAATGACATTTGTTGAAACTCAGACCCGAGAAGAAGACCCCAATTAAATTGTTGCTCATGCAATTGCATTTCCTTATGCATTCCGAAAACATGAAGACAACAACTATTCAAATTCCAAGTTGGCATTGAGTTCAAAATCAACGTCAAAAGAGTATACAATTACCTTCCCCTCAAGGAAAGCCAAATTGCGCAGTGATGTCATTGTTCCCATCAAACATGAGGGTCAAGCTGAGCACCTTCTAGATCGAACAAAAAGGGCCTGTAAAAATGAAAACCCAAGCTCCAAGACTACACAAAGAAGTTTCTTGGGAATCTTGACTTCAGGCCACCCAAAAAATGAAAATTTTGGAGAAAGCCGCGAATGTTGCGCTCCAAGGCTCTCAGCTTGAGCGACATGTTATGAAGTTACCTGATATTACCACATAACCACTGGACCAAGGAAACACCAAAAAAACATGGGGAAAATAAACCTCCCTCAATGACTGGAAACTGTTTTGTTTTTGTCGGCGCCTGTAGTTTTGTTTTTTATGGTGGTTGTCTCTTTGTTGCGTAACAAACATGTGGGGAATGTTGCACAAATCCTCAAACAATTATAATCAAAGCCGGACATGCTACTTCTTGATAGGGTTTGTAGGGCGAGCAGAGCCAAATGCCAGAAGCACTGCGTTTTAGACGCTTTTTGGTGAGGGGGCAGAATGCAGCAAAACTTGAAGGTACTTTTGTTAGTTGTTTGTTGGGGGGGTGGTGGAGGGGTATCATATATAGATATGTATTATCTATATGTATGTATATATAGGTATCGTGTTTAATTATATAGAGGTTAATGTGAAGACTCATAAACAAAGCAAAAAAAATAAAAGAAAAAGACACACACACACAGTCTATCTCTTCAGGAACTAATATTAAATGCTAAGAATATTTCTATTGTTGGTTGCTTTTATCTGTGTTTCTGGAGCTATTTTATTATGAACGAACATATCATGAAAGAAATTCCAAAAGACACAAATAAGAGAAAGAAAATAATATAAACAAGATGTAGAAATAATAAAAGAAGAAGAACAATAATAAGAAAACCAAATAAAATAGAAAAGATAAATGACCAAAAGAATTACATTAGATACATGGGGGTTGATCAATATTCCTGGCCTCCAAATGACCATGGGTAACTGTTGAAATAACGAATCTGTTTCGTGGTTTTCCAACCAATGGTCATCCCATGTGTATCGTACCTTACCAACCCACATATGCCAACCTGCCCACACGACTCCTCGTTATCAACCCACGTATGCCAACCTGCCCACACGACTCCTCTGTCATCCCATGTGCATCGGACCTTATCAACCCACATATGCCAACCTGCCCACACGACACCTCCTTATCAACCCACGTACGCCAACCTGCCCACACGACTCCTCTGTCATCCCATGTGCATCGGACCTTATCAACCCACATATGCCAACCTGCCCACACGACTCCTCGTTATCAACCCACGTATGCCAACCTGCCCACACGACTCCTCTGTCATCCCATGTGCATCGGACCTTATCAACCCACGTATGCCAACCTGCCCACACGACTCCTCTGTCTTCCCATGTGCATCGGACCATATCGACCCACATATGCCAACCTGCCCACACGACACCTCCTTATCAACCCACGTACGCCAACCTGCCCACACGACTCCTCTGTCATCCCATGTGCATCGGACCTTATCAACCCACATATGCCAACCTGCCCACACGACTCCTCGTTATCAACCCACGTATGCCAACCTGCCCACACGACTCCTCTGTCGTCCCGTGTGCGTCGGGCCTTATCAACCCACATATGCCAACCTGCCCACACGACTCCTCTGTCATCCCATGTGCATCGGACCTTATCAACCCACGTATGCCAACCTGCCCACACGACTCCTCTGTCATCCCATGTGCATCGGACCTTATCAACCCACATATGCATACCTGCCCACACGACTCCTCTGTCATCCCATGTGCATCGGACCTTATCAACCCACATATGCCAACCTGCCCACACGACTCCTCCTTATCAACCCACGTATGCCAACCTGCCCACACGACTCCTCTGTCATCCCATGTGCATCGGACCTTATCAACCCAAACCTGCCCACACGACTCCTCTGTCATCCCATGTGCATCGGACCTTATCAACCCACATATGCCAACCTGCCCACACGACTCCTCTGTCATCCCATGTGCATCGGACCTTATCAACCCACGTATGCCAACCTGCCCACACGACTCCTCTGTCACCCCATGTGCATCGGACCTTATTAACCCACATATGCCAACCTGCCCACACGACTCCTCCTTATCAACCCACATATGCCAACCTGCCCCACGACTCCTCTCTCATCCCATGTGCATTGGACCTTATCGACCCACATATGCCAACCTGCCCATCCCATGTGCTTCGGACCTTATCAACCAACATATGCCAACCTGCCCACACGACTCCTCTGTCATCCCATGTGCATCGGACCATATCGACCCACATATGCCAACCTGCCCATCCCATGCGCATCGGACCTTATCAACCCACGTATGCCAACCTGCCCACACGACTCCTCTGTCATCCCATCTGCATCGGACCTTATCAACCCACATATGCCCTCCTCTCTCATCCCATGTGCATCGGACCTTATCGACCCACGTATGCCAACCTGCCCACACGACTCCTCTGTCATCCCATGTGCATCGGACCTTATCGACCCACATATGCTAACCTGCCCCACGACTCCTCTCTCGTCCCATGTGCATCGGACCTTATCAGCCCACGTATGCCAACTTGCCCACACGACTCCTCTGTCATCCCATGTGCATCATCGACCCACATTTGCCAACCTGCCCCACGACTCCTCTCTCATCCCATGTGCATCGGACCTTATCAACCCACGTATGCCAATCTGCCCACACGACTCCTGTGTCATCCCATGTGCATCAGACCTTATCGACCCACATATGCCAACCTGCCCACACGACTCTCATCCCATGTGCATCGGACCTGACCTTATCAACCCACGTATGCCAACCTGCCCACACGACTCCTCTGTCATCCCATGTGCATCGGACCTTATCGACCCACATATTCAACCTGCCCACACGACTCCTCTGTCATCCCATGTGCATCGGACCTTATCAACCCACGTGTGCCAACCTTGTGCATCGGACCTTCTCAACTGCCAACCTGCCCACACGACTCCTCTGTCATCCCAGGTGCATCGGACCTTATCAACCCACATATGCCAACCTGCCCACACGACTCCTCCTTATCAACCCACGTATGCCAACCTGCCCACACGACTCCTCTGTCATCCCATGTGCATCGGACCTTATCAACCCACATATGCCAACCTGCCCACACGACTCCTCTGTCATCCCATGTGCATCAGACCTTCTCAACCCACATATGCCAACCTGCCGACACGACTCCTCTGTCATCCCATGTGCATCAGACCTTGTTAACCCACATATGCCAACATACCCACACGACTCCTCTGTCATCCCATGTGCATCAGACCTTCTCAACCCACGTATGCCAACCTGCCCACACGACTCCTCAGTCATCCCATGTGCATCAGACCTTATCAACCCACGTATGCCAACCTCACGACTCCTCTGTCATCCCATGTGCATCGGACCTTCTCAACCCACATATGCCAACCTGCCCACACGACTCCTCTGTCATCCCATGTGCATCGGACCTTCTCAACCCACATATGACAACCTGCCCACACGACTCCTCTGTCATCCCATGTGCATCGGACCTTCTCAACACACATATGCCAACCTGCCCCACGACTGCTCTCTCATCCCATATGCATCAGACCTTGTTAACCCACATATGCCAACATGCCCACACGACTCCTCTGTCATCCCATGTGCATCGGACCTTATCAACCCACGTATGCCAACCTTGTGCATCGGACCTTCTGCACCCACATCTGCCAACCTGCCCACACGACTCCTCTGTCATCCCATGTGCATCAGACCTTCTCAACCCACATATGCCAACCTGCCGACACGACCCCTCTGTCATCCCATGTGCATCAGACCTTGTCAACCCACATATGCCAACATGCCCACACGACTCCTCTGTCATCCCATGTGCATCAGACCTTCTCAACCCACATATGTCAACCTGCCCACACGACTCCTCTGTCATCCCATGTGCATCAGACCTTGTCAACCCACATACGCCAACATGCCCACACGACTCCTCTGTCATCCCATGCGCATCAGACCTTATCAACCCACGTATGCCAACCTCACGACTCTTCTGTCATCCCATGTGCATCGGACCTTCTCAACCCACATACGCCAACCTGCCCACACGACTCCTCTGTCATCCCGTGTGCATCAGACCTTCTCAACCCACATATGCCAACCTGCCGACACGACTCCTCTGTCATCCCATGTGCATCAGACCTTGTCAACCCACATAATGTGCAACAGACCTTATTAACCCACGTATGCCAACCTCACGACTCCTCTGTCATCCCATGTGCATCAGACCTTATCAACCCACGTATGCCAACCTGCCCACACGACTCCTCTGTCATCCCATGTGCTCGGACCTTCTCAACCCACATACGCCAACCTGCCCACACGACTCCTCTGTCATCCCTTGTGCATCAGACCTTCTCAACCCACATATGCCAACCTGCCGACACGACTCCTCTGTCATCCCATGTGCATCAGACCTTGTTAACCCACATATGCCAACATGCCCACACGACTCCTCTGTCATCCCATGTGCATCAGACCTTATCAACCCACGTATGCCAACCTGCCCACACGACTCCTCTGTCATCCCATGTGCATCAGACCTGCAACAAATGCCAACCTGCCCACAGGACCTCTCCCCAGGCCCGCCTCGCGGGTGATGCCGTGCTTCTTGGCCAGAAGCTCAGCACCCCCGAACTGAGAGAAGGCCTCGGGGGCGATCGGATCGATCGGATTGCGCACGGCCAAAGGCCCCAAAGGCCCCCCCTTTTTGCGTTGAAAAGACGGGGGGGTGGGGGTGGGGGTGGGGGTGGGATGTTCTGCAAAATCCCAGAAATGCTATTTCCCAGATGTTTTACGGGAATCCCCAGATGGATGCTTTGGGGAATCCCCAAACACTGGTATTTACAGAGCTGGAGATCTGTTCGGGGGGCAAAACGGTGTAAAGGTGACCCAGTGGGGATTCCAAGAAGAACTGGCAGCTTCAAGTCTCAAGCCAGCTCAAAAAAAAACCGGAGTTGGATTCGAAACTTGGCAGTTTGGGAAGCAGTTGGGAATTGTTTCCGGCCACGGGTTCACTCTCGGTTGGTGGAAACAGAATCGTGTATTTCCTGCACACTTCAGAAGCAAAAAAAAGAGTGGGTCAAAATTGTTTCAGCAAACCCTTTGTTGTTGCCCTCTTAATGGACAACCAAGAGGTTGTTTGAGAACACTTGCGGTGTAAACCAGGCTGAATAAATATCGAAGCTTTCTTCAGGCACCATTAAACCACTGAGCAAATCGGCTCTGGCGTGCATGGGTCAAAAAGATGGCAAATGGGAGGAACCTACACATCCCAATGAAATGTGAACGGGCTCACTGGTGTATTTGGATCCACGGCACACTGGGAAAAAGAACGATATTTTCGCTCGTAGAGCAAATCTTCTTTGGAAGTCAATGCAGACCAAGCGAGGCCCTTGCTGCTTTCCTTTTGACCGACCAGGCAAATATCCAGCGCCTCACCAAGGACGTGCAAAGCAGCACCTGACTTCAAGCCTATTGCATTTGTGCATCCTGCCAAACATGCCTTGCTCCAGAAACGCGAAGCACGTGAATCTGGCTATTGCTGGGAGACAGTTAGTCGTGCTTAGCCAGACGATCTCAGGATTGTAACGTTTCTTCATGGGACACCTCGCCTTCTACGCTGCAAGATCTATCACAGGACTTTGGCATGCGGGAGCTGGCGCGTGTTTTCATCCACAAAACAGCAAGCCCCGATTGCACGCCGCTGGAACCAACTCAAGCTCCCAGCTGAGGAGGACATCTGGAACTCTTCAAAGGCCTGGCCGGGACGCTCAGGCAGGGTCAGCATCTCAGCTTCCTTCTAATGCCTTGGGTTTGGTGGTTTGGACCATTACAGGGTGCCGCCCCAATCTGGTTTCGAAAGGAAATGGGGTTCGAATTCCAAATCTAAAGCACCGATGGGTTACCTGAGCATTGACCCAAAGCATCAAACTCGCGATCAGAACAGAGCTGCGTACGCAAATGGTTTCACCTTGGACTTTGATAAGGGCTCCGACCCTTTGAAAGGTCTAAAGGTCTAAATACTTTAACAATAAAAAGTTTAATCATGCCATCCATTGCGGTGTCTCTACGAGTTGAGCAGTTGCCTTGACACCTGGACCTCAGCCGTCAAGTATCGATTCTCCAAAACCACCGAATTTCACGCTGGGCATTCTATGCCTCACTGCTTCCGGTGCTTCTTCATGCCAACGGAAACCCAGGACCAATAAACCCCAGGTTGTTCAATAGGAGGGAAACTTGCTCAATTTGAAAGCACCTCTTGACCTTTGAAGAACACACATCTTGTTCCTTTCTTTGGAAGTCAACATGCACGTGCCGCTTTCCCACTCCCCGAGCACCCCGGTCGAATTTTTGCCCGCCTTCAGCTTCTCCTGGTACTTTTCCCCAATGGCCTCCGTCATGGGGAGCCCGTGGCCCGCCTCGAAATCGAGCCCTTCGATTGCGAAACATTCGAACGAGCTTCGCCCGGCGGCGACTTCATGGCAGGGCTGTGGGGAATGGAATCCACTTCTGTGATACAACAAAAAGAGCCTCCCAAAGACTAACCCCCATATAAAAGGGGGATTCCCTTGTATCACAGAAGTGGGGATAAACCCCTTGATCCCACAACCCTGCTTGATGGGGCTAGCGAATCCGAGGTTTGGTATGTGCCGAATGTCAGCGGCCTTGGGGACTGGCGATTGGTTTGGAGAAAACTAAAGGTGCATGGGTCTGGTAGAGACAATCGCAGGCACAAAGCGTCTAAGAAGCAGCAAAAAGGGGGAAGGCTCTTGAGGCAGTCAAAGCCACCAACAAAAGATTAGGGACCCAGACAGGCTCATACAGCACATCTAAACAAACCTAAAGCAACCAGCTGACAACCCTGCCCTACTCAGTGGCACTCGCACATCATGCTGACAACATCTGTGAGACCACCGACACTCCTTAAGCAAACCCTGGCATCACAGCATGAAATGGCCACCGGTGCAGTGAAAAAGAACAACGACAAATTCTTGGCGAGTGAAGCTTAATCTCTGAAGGTTTGAGCAAATTAAGCTATTGCGACTTGTCCCATGAAAGAAATTGACAATTTATCCTGATCGAACACGGCGGAGGTCAAGGGCTTGCCGGACCCTGCTGCTGGCAACAAAAGTTGTATTAGCGATTGTAGATATAGATATAAAAAAAAAAAAAAAAAAAAAAAAAAAAAAAAAAAAAAAAAAAAAAAAAAAAAAAAAACAAAAAAAAACAGTTCCGGCAGGCGTGTGACGCAACCAATGTATACAGCTGTATATGGCCAACAATGAAAAATGTAGCTATGTGAAGGACTCAAATTCAATAAACTCTGGATCAGCTGGAGGTTTAACAAGTAGCGGCTCATGGTGGCATGCTACTCGCCACCACACAGGGTCTGTGTCAAATTCAACCAGAAACGCATTTGCTTCCCAGCAGCCAGAACACAAAGAGGCCTAGAGCCATTCGAAAAAGAAAAAAAAAACGATTTGGAAAAGTGGGTGGATTTCCGGGCAAATTCCGACCCTGCGCGGCGCATTGCGCCAACCCCGCGCTTCACGTTGTAACCCCTTATTGCTTTCAAGAAGGCGCCGTATAGCGCCCTCCAGCCGGCTTCAACCAACAAAATGCCAACCAATGGCCTTCACGCCATCAATCACGCTCGCGCCAATGGGGACCAAAGACCTGGGCACGGGCATGACTCTTTGAAGTCAATGCCTGGAATTGAAGGTACACATACACACATATATATATATAACAATATATATATATATGTGTGTGTGTGTGTGTTCTCGCAAACGTGTACAAGCGTGTATGTCTATGTATATATATATATACTTATATATGTGTACATGTCTCATTTAATATATACTTTTAACACATCTACAAGTAGAATATATATATATATAGATATGCATATTTAACAATATATCGGTATTTACGGCCTTCTTTTCACATATACATTTGGGCACACATAACAACTTTCTTTTCTCTACTATATGTTTGACGTTATCGATTTCCCTCCTAATCGTCGTTTGCTTCGGCTTGCCCGTCGCAACTTTTCAGTACAAGTGTCATGCGCGAAGTACACTCGCGCAGCTCTAGCTCGAAAATTGCAACTTTTCAATACAAGCGTAGTAAGCGAGGTACACTTCCCCAGGTCCAGCGCGACAACCGCAACTGTTCAGAACAAGCAGCTCCAGCTCAAAATCACACGTTTCAGTACAAGTGTACTAGACGAAGTACAGTACACTTCCGCAGCTCCAGCTCTAAAATCGCAACTTCTCAGTACCAGCACAGTACCCGAAGCATGCCTTGGCAGCCCAGCTCGAAAATCGCAACTGGTGTGGATGTGCGGCAAGGCGTGCAGAAGGCTATTACCGTTCAAAACGGTATCGGTTCCGAAATCGTATGGCCTGTTCGCTACCGACTCTTCTCAGCAAAACGGGGCAGCTTAGACAAGAGGCTATGTCAACGAGGCTGATAACAACCTCGGGTGTAGTACGCGGAACACTTCCAAAGCCACCGCGCGAGCATCGCAACTTGGCGAGTCCAGAACTTTACTTTCCAAATAAGAGGCTCAAACGGAAGCCATATAGAGGAATCCAACTTGAGCATTGCACCACTCACGCGGAGCAAATGGCTGTTGTGGTTGGTAGGTCTTTCTTTGTCTACTTCCTTCTTTATGTCCTTTTTCGTTCTTTCTTTGTTGTTTCCTTCTCTCTTTCTATTCTTCCTTGTTTCCCTTTCTCTATTTCCTTTTTTGTGTCTTTCTGTCTTTATGCATCTCCTTTTCTATATTTTGTTATTTGTTTTCTTTCTTAATTCATTGACTCTTCCCTTCGATTGTTCTTTCTTGCCTTCTTATTTTCTTTCTGTTCTTCTTTAGTTCCTTTCTTTGTTTCTCTCTGGATTCTTTCTTTTGTTCTTGTCTTATTTCCTTTTCATTATTTTCTTTCCTTCTTTCTTTCTTTCCTTTCTTTCCTTTCTTTCCTTCCCTCTTTCCTTTCCGCTTTCCCTTTTTCTTTCTGTCAGGCGAATCTTTTCTTTCTGTACTCATTCATTGGCTCACACATCCATTAACTCATTCATTGACTGATTCAATCATTCATCCATCCATCCGTCCATTCATTCATTCTCTCATTCGTTCATTGCATTGCATTGCATTGTATGGCGCTGCATTCACGCATTTGCGCTTACACGCATTCATGCATCCGTGCGTTCGTGCATTCATGCTTTCACGCATTCACGCGCAAGCGTGCGCAGTGCACGTGCGGTCTTGCGCCCCAGGGGCCATATTATTTTGCCTCGATATTGATTGGCTTCCCTCGGTTTTTCAAAGTGCGCACCGATTGAGGGACCCTCGGGTGTAGATGCGTGATGGCAAGGTTTCTAAAAGTTGCCTCTGCTTGAATCTTGGTTGGCTTGCTCCATTCCTTTGTTCCATCTTCCTGCTCTTGGCCGCCTTTTGCGCCTCGCTGCATAGCACCTTTCGTCGGCCGCTTGTTGACGTTCTTCCTGTTGGCCGCGTTGCAGGATGGCTTCTTCGTCTTCCTGTTGTTTGCCTTTGTTCTCTTCTTCCTCTTCCTGTCTTTCTGCTGGCGCTCCTCGTTCCCCTCATGCAGTTTGGCTTGACATCTTCTTCCTCCTCCGTTGGTGTAGTCTTCTTGCTCTTGGCCCCTTTGCGGGATGGCTACTTCCTCTTCCCGGTCTCCTCTTTCCCTTCGCCGTCTTCGCTTCTTCCTGGGCATCTTCCGCGCGTTCGCCCTCCTTCCCTTGTCGGTCCCTCGGAGACCCCACACCTGGGCTCCCTGATTTGCTTGCTTCTTGGTCGGGGTGCCCGAGGACACCCAACTTGGGGCCACGTTTGCTTCGTTTTGGCTTGCCTTTGCTCTGTTTCTTACGGGGGCGTGCGTGTGCTGAGTCCCTGATCCATTCAGGGACCAATCTTGCCGTGCAAGGGGGCAACCCCTAAGCATAGCTGGCTGCCCAACAAAGAGGGCCAAATCAACTCTGCGTACCCGCGCAACTCGCGGGTGATTCACCTACGCCGTTGCTTCTCTGGTTTCCCCTTAGGAAGGTAGAGGGAAACCACTTTGACTCGAAATTACTTGACATGAAATGCGCTTTCTCACTCCATATGTTGACTCGATATTAATTGGCGTCCTCCCTCGGGAGTCTAAGTGTGTACATTTGTTCGTTCAATCGTTTGCCATCCATCAGTTTGCTTCCTGTTTCTATTCTTGCTGTTTGAGGAGCTATGATTTGCTTATATTTGTTTGTTTGTTTTCTCTAGTGTATGCTCTGTTCTCCTGCTGTGTACACATACGTCCCTGCAATGTTTGACGTGCCCTAACCCCCATCTCCATTTTGAGCTGCTTGAAAGGCAGTTCGGCAGGTTCTAGCCGAATTGAAAACTTTGAAAGGAAAAATACAAAACAGAACAACATAACCAGTAGGTGGCCAAGCACGGCTGACACATAGGCCCAGACAAGGTTCTGGCCTGGGCTGAACTTGCCCACGGTGTATGCAATTTCAAGGAACATTGTTCTAAGCCAACTCTAGCCAACAGCGAAGAGCATCAAAGGACTGCGTGTGAACTTGATCCTGGGCTGCCACACATTGCTTCTGCACCTCCAGCAATGCCTTGGGCAGCAGACACAGTTCGGGATGTTTTCTAGGTACAAATGGATCTCCATGGAATCTCCGGAAACTGCGATTTGTGCATCACACATGGTGCCACGGAGGCCCGTGCTGTTTCTCCTACATGCACCATTTTGGAGTGAGGCAAAGGCTTCCTACGAAGCAAGTAAGGCTGGCAGGATGCCAGGATGAACAAGACAAACGAACAAACTTCGTTGTGAGTCATCAAACTTGACGTTTGGGGGGGCAGTTGCTGAAGGTGGAGAAGTACTTGGGCCAGTACGGTTGGCAAAACTGGGTGCACTCGCAAGCTTACGGTTGGCTTTTTGTCTGGTCTAAACTTTCAAATACTTTCGCCAAGTGTGCGGGCATTCCGGCCCCAATGGTTCATGCTCTCACCATGCAACTGCTCAGAGAGCAACCTTGGAAATGATGCTCCCTACAGCCCATTGCTTCTGATGAATGAATATCTCGCCTCTTACTGATCCAAACCAAACACCTTCCTAGTGGCAGCAAGTTTGCCAGGTTGAGCGCAGCCTGGTGTGCTCTCTCAGAAACCAGACGCAACTGGGGACCATTGAAGTGACGCTGCGACACCCTTTTCTTTGATACTGCCCATGCACAAGTAATGTGTTTATAGTTTCGTGAACGCCCAAAAGCTTCATCCCAAAAAAAAGTGAAGGGAACCAAAGCTTCATCCCAAATGACTAAAGGTTTATAGTGTTGAAGGGAACCCAAAGGACACACAAATCCGGGCTGCAGCAGTCGTGGACGCCGCTCATGACCGCCTGCGCCGCGAAGTGGATGGCCTGATCAAGGGCTGCAAGTCTGCAGATGCTTTGGGGGCTCCCCGGAAGCTTCCAACGACCTTCCCCGGAAAACCTTCCTTGGAATCCCTTCAAAAATCTGCTTGGGGCTTGGGGATACTCCTTCGTTTTGGTTTGCCCTCCCTCCGATCATGGAAGCTGACAAAAGAGTTTTGGAAGACTACCTTCCTGTTGGGGAAGCCCCGATCGTCCACTTCCGTGATGGTTGGAGAGTACTTGCAATCGGCCACGCCAAAGTTAGCTGGGACAATAATCGCATCTCCACATCGCCTCCGAAGGAAAGGATAATCACGTTCATAGGTCCACAATTGCGTGCAGGTTCCCATGTGTTTTTCGCCCAGGATTCTTTTCAGATCTGCACCGCTGCACAAAGCCTACTGGTTGTTCTCTTTCGATGAACTCTGAAGGTTGATGTAGCCAGGCTGCCTGCCAGCAACCATTTCCAGGCTATTGTTCAGCTGATGAGCCGCCGTATCAGGTTCCCGTCGCCTTCTTATTTTTGCCAGTGGCAAGTAAGCAACTTACCAGCAACGCAGTATCCCCCCAAAAGGTGCGCCGTGAAAACGCCCATAAAAGCGACAAGCCGACCTGCTGCGAAGAGCCACACTGGCGGTCCACGGTCGTTCCTGGCACCTGCAGAAGGCAGCACCTATTTGGGTCGATTGAAGGGTCCCCAAAAAATGAAAGCAAGGGAAGCCCAAAGGAAACCGCCTGTTTTGGGGGACATCCTTCTTAGGCAGAGGCAAGCAAGTGCCAGGCACACGCAAAAATATTGTGTTTTTTGAGGGAGAGCACGACATCTGGCTTGAACCTAAATATCTAGAAGCTGCTCCCAGCAAATGAGCGATGGTCATCTCACTTGCGCTGAGTGGATGGCCCCAAAAAGTTCAAACTTTATATTTACCACTAAAATGGTTTTCCCAAAAAGCTTAAAGTTCATGAACTCAGGAAGTGAGAGTCTTTCAGGGTTCCCCATGCTCTGCAAGCTAGGCCGCCGTACGCTCTCCGGCAGCAGCCGGGAGGAGAGCACCACGTTGCGGCCCAAGTTGGCGGACTGGCGATCGCTCAGCGCCAACGACGACTTGCCGAAAACTTCCCACTGAAACTTGCGATCTGTGAGTTATGAATGGGAGAGGGAGGGAGGCCTCCCCTGCCCTCCACTCCACTCCCTCCCCTCCCCCTCCCCTCCCCTCCCCTCCCCTCCCCCTCCCCCTCCCCTCCCCTCCCCTCCCCTCCCCTCCCCCCCTCCCCTCCCCTCCCCTCCCCTCCCCCTCCCTCCCCCTCCCCCTCCCTCCCAAAGCACGAAAAAACTGAAGAAGCATACCAAGTTCAAACAACGCACTTTGAAAAAAAAATGTTCTAATATTTACAAACCATAAGAATAATATAATTACAACATATAATAGTGTACATGTTATCATTATATGTTGATTATAATTGTAGTTCAGGATAAAAAGGAACTGATGATTACATAATTGTTCATATTCCTTACTTCTTTCATACATCATGTTTAAAATGATATCAATATCTCTCACTGCATTTGTTAATGCTAAACATGTTACTTTCAATAAACTGCTGTATATGTTCTTGGTCAATGTTCTATATGTTTGTATTGTAGCATCCATATTATATGATCTTAGTTTTCTTACTAATTCTTAGAAACTGTTTGACATAATCATATGGTGGTATTGTATAATGGTGTTTAACACATACCAATATTAATTTACATTGATGTTTATTATACTTCCGCTGGTATTTCTTTGAATGAACCGTCCATCACGGTTGGGCTATCATCTTTTTCCTTCGGTCGTGGGTGGAACGTTGAGTACTACACTTTGTCATTGTAAAACCGTACTAACTTTAATCTGTTTTCCTTCTTATAAAATCACCATCGCCATTAACAAAACGTACTTCATAAACACTGTCTTTAATCCTTCTAAATCCTTTCACTTCTGGTTTACTTGCAAGATAAGCGAATGTTAGTTCAGACGCTATTTTATTAAACTGTGTGTGTCCATAAGCGTCTTCTGCTTTTGATTCTACTTCAACTATAGGGTCGTCTTCTCGTTCATCTTCTTCCCCTTCCTCTTGCTTATTCAATGGTTCCAATTCTGGCATTTCATCATCATCATATTTTGCCATTGAATGGCCTTCTACACCAGCCATATCTTCATGTTGTTCTCTCCACAATATCATTCGCTCTTCAAGTTATTCTTTCTGCTTCTTTGCTTCCATTGGTCCTTCTTTAATGAAAGACTAATGTTGTTTCAGTGTGTCAGCAAGCTTCAGTTCATCATACACTTCCACCATCCGTCGTTGCTAATTTCATAACTTCTTTTCTTCGGTTAAGTTCTTGTTTCTTTTGAATTTCTAAGGCGTGTTTATTATCAAATTGACTACCATAATGATTTAGTCTGTATCTTGCTGCTTTTCCATCTATTACATTTTCAATTGATGGGCGGTTCTCATCTCCTCCTAATGATTGTTTCCAAACTTCATCACAAGATGGTCGTAAATTCAATTGAGTAATTAATCGTTTAATCATATTATATATTAATCTGAGATACTCTTAATCATTTATTCTAAATGTTTCTTTCTTGCTGTGAGTTGTTCCTTTGTTGGTATTCCATCTGGTGAGCGTGTATTATCTAATGTCTGTCTTATTCTGTCCAACTCCGTTCTGTAACTTTCGGTTTTGTTGCTTTCAACTGAATCATGTCTATACTTGATTAATGCTCCCGGCGATTGTCTCGCTTCCAGTGTGTCCTTCAAGTGATTAAATTGATTCATTCTTCAAGCAACACCCCATAAATCTCTAACATCGTAATGTCGTTCTACTTGCGGTGCCCTTTTAAATTCTGCATTTCTGTCACTTCTCATAAGCATGATTGTTGTATAGTATCATTTAATTGTGTCTATTGAAACATTGATGAAGATACTTTGGTTGTTTTTTTGGTTTTAATATTGATTTTTTTTTCAGTTCTTCGTATGGTGTAGGCTTCTTAGTTGTTTATTTAATCACTTCTTGTTTAATCTCATTCTTAATCTCTTCTTTCACTTCTGGTTTTATCTTTCTATTGTTATTTGGCTGTGGCTCAAAAAACCGGTACCAAAATGGAACCCTGGTAAATGGAAACATGAACCAAAACCTGCGTAACCCCTCCTGTTTAATTTTGAGCCATACCCATTTTGTGGATTGACTGGTAATAACTCAGTAGGTGAGCCTTACAATTTTTAGAGTGTGAAAAACAAAGTGATTTAGCATTCATAGATTTACCACACTTTTCACATTGGACTACTTCAACTTTTTTCTTGGTTCTTGCTAATGCTTTTGCTTTTGGTTTAGGTTCTTCTTTGAATTCTTTTTGTTCTTCTTTTGGTTCTTCTGGTGTTGGTTTTTCATTAACTGTTTCATTTTGTTCAACAACTTCATTATTAATAGGGGATTCGCGTAGCGACGCGAATGCTTCTCAAGGATCTCTGCAATTCTTGCTATAAATCTAAAAGCTGAATTAGGGGACCATGGGGACCCAAGCAAAGGACCTTTTTCATGGGGAGCTCGTTATACCCCCAGGTGAGCTTGTCACAAAACAGGCAGATTGATGAATGACTCTAAACTTTGAGTAGCATGACATAGCTGGGCTTCCCTTAATCGCAGGATAGCAATCCAGCGCAGCTGCAAGTGGAAGCACGCCATGACAGCTCTGAAAACTTGAGTCGCTACGGTAATGCTGAATGCTGAGTGGTGCAGCCCTCCCTCCTAGAGCACTATATGGGTGTGGCTCAAAATAAACCCACCAGGGGGCCGCAGGTTTTAGTCTTTGGTTCCATTTATCAGGGTTCCATTTTGGGTACGCATTTTGACCCACAGCCATATAACGATTTACCGTCTCATTATTGTCTCAAGGGATGAATGTGAACCGTTTTAACCCGCGAGACGCTTGGCCCGAGCTCCGAACCAAGCTTATCCAGAGCACGGCCCAAGAGTGCCACCCATCTGCAAGCAGGGCATGGTCTGTTTTAGTTTCAATTAACATCTACTGCCTCAATACTTGTCATATAATATTTTATATATATATATTCTATCTGGAAAGTTTATAGAATTGATTTAAATAATATCGCTTTTCACGAACAATAATGAAAATGAAGAATTAACCCCATTCAAATTAATTTCGTTACCTAATGAATTAGACAGCCAACAGTATAAGTGTTTAAATGTCCTAGTTGATACATCTAAGTAATCTAGCGGGTTCATCTCATTATCAAAGACAATTCCTGCGTGTGGTGCTGTGACTGGAACCTTTTTTACTACTGTGCTGTCGCCAGTCCCTAATTCACTTGATTATAATTTGATAATTGAGAAGAATGAATAAATATGTCTGATAAGTTGAAGATTAATAAACTCAGAAATATCAGGATTACTATACGGATAAACTGCCATTTGATAATTTCCTAAAACTTCATTACCAGGACGAAAATTATTAGCATCAAAACGTCCATTCCAAATATAGTCAGCATATATTATGTTCATCTGTTCTTCAGTTAATACTGTGAATTGTCTATCAGCATAGTTTGAAAAAATATTTTATTAGTTTTGACACTGTAAGTAACTTCATAAGTATTTGAGAAATTAGTATTATCAACAACACAATTTAGATCTGATGTTAATTCTGTCGCCAGTTCTGTGCCAGTATATACTCCTTCATCTAAGTGTGATGCTAAATAATGAACATGTGTGTTGTCTTCATCTGGAACTAATGGTGAAGAATAAAGTATAATATATTATTGGTAATGCTACTTCGTGAATGTTGCAATGAACACCATTATCTGCTTGTAATGTTTTTGGAAATTCAACTTTAAAATTTGATGATGTGCCACTAATTCTATGAGCACTGTCAATATAAACCTTCTTATATGTAAGCACAATATATTGTAGAATAGAAAACTAATTTATACCGCTATTTATATGATTAATAATGAAGAGTTCATCTATGAAATGAAGCACGGGAAACTTAAACATTATCAACCTTACAAGAAATCAACTAAAATAACTGATGTCATGAAACAAACTGACAAAAAGTTAAATAGTTGTTGTCCCAATTCTAAGTTAACTGATGCCCAAGGATTAAGTAGAGCATATGGTAATGGTAAAGGACTGTATATTGATGGTGATAAAATGTATGTAGCAGGAACATTCGGAAAAGGAACCTTTGGAGGTGCTGTTAATGACATTCTTGCAGATGTGGGACTTCCGTTTAAAATGACAAAGTACTCACAACGATATAAAGACACATCAAAAGCATTGGATGAAAACAATGAAGTTAAACACCTTGTAACACATAGCCTCGGTTCAAGTGTAGGGGCACAAATAACAAAAGATTACTATGAAAGAGAATTAACTTCAACACCGATGATTACATCAATTTTAGAAGTATCTTGGACCCTGTGAGTATTGCTGACCGTGGTGCTATAACTGTTTATACTGGTTCAATAAATCCATTTACCAACCACGATTACATAACTGGATACGGAGATATGGGGCGTGATGTGTCAAGAAGCATTTGTCCGGTAAAGGAGATTTTGAACTTTTTGTAGGAGGAAAAAAACATATACTATTATATATGTGTAATCAGTTGAATGATCACTTGACAGAAAGTGAAACAAACTATAAACCATTAACAATTGAAGAAAGATTAAAGGATTTACACAGAGAAGTACACGAACATATGTAAAATGCCAATGCGGTTGTGTCATTATTAGCAGTGTCAGAGTTAGACCTGACTATATTGAATATAACTTGATTATTTCAATTTATAATATGTGTCTGCCAAAATATCAAAATGATTATTTCCTAATCAATGACAACAGAAACAACTGTAATCACAGTCAATCAAACATTGCTGAAACAGTAGAAAGAAAAAATGAAAATATGTTCATAGTATTGTTGATGATACAACATAAGAAATATGACAACGAAACAACGGATGATATGATTAAGAATGAAACTAAAAAGTATAAGAAAAGTTCATACGAAGAAACTAGAGAAATAGTACT